ATTGATGTTGAAGGAACTAAACTCAGTTCCGAAATATCACATACTCGAACCGACCTGACCGCGTAGCTCAGTTGGCAGAACATTGGGCTAGTAATCCAAATGTCGTAGGTTCGATTCCCATCGTGGCCAGGCATATTTTTCAAGTTTCCCCGGTGTGGATATATACTCAGAGTAACATCACAAACATCATATTCACCTTAGTACATAACACCAACACAGAAAAATCAAGATCCTTACTAGTTGGTCATAACTCATAACTGTGGTATATAACAGACAACTATTGTGATGTACAAGCGTACGAAAACCAGCCTAAAGCCCATCATTACTAAAGTACATATAATACAATAATTATGCATTTGTTTTGTTATTTTTGTAATAGTAACATTACAAATTTTACAGAAAATTTCTAGCCTTCAACCCAGGTTCCCAGAAAGAAAAAATTTTCCACCCCTGGTTATTTTACCCTAAAACAGTTGAGATTACCTGCGCTAAATGAAACCCATCAAGATCAAAGAGAAACATGTTCCTGCACAAATCATGGGATTACAACTTTCATGTGGCCCATGGTAAAACAGGCAAACATAAAAACGACGCCATTGGGTAAAAGTACAATGAACAGACAAAACAGTAAAGAATATTTTTGTGACATTGTCCATGGCATTAGATAGGGTAAAAGATTAAGGCACATTCCTACCTTCCAGTATTTGCAGACTTGCATGTATAGTAACACATCTCGCACAGGAAGCTGTAATAAGATATAACGGAGCAATTCCACTGGTAGTTGTTGTACTTCTGATAAAAATGCATCTGGTTTCTGCAAAATCCAAAGTGCTATTCAGTATGGCAATAATTTGTACGTTTTGTACACTAATGGAGTGCTTCGATCTTTCCCAGGTAATCCAAATATGGTATTTTATCATGCATTAATTTGATATTAAGTTACTGTCATGCTTATTGCTTAACATAAGAAAATAATTATAAGCAAATTTTGACCCTTCGGCCTTCGACACAAACATATTCGCATATTCCTCTAATCAATTTCCATTTAATAATCCCCTCTAATATTCACCTGCAATATCTTTGCAGCACAAAAAATGAGAAAAAAAAACAACATAACGAAGGCAATATGGCATTAAGAATTATTTCTATTCCGACTCATTAACGCGACCTCGCATTGTGAAAAATAAGTACGTTATTTTGAGGCGCACCTCGGGAATATCTGTTTATTCACCTCGGCGCTGCGCGGCTCGGTGAATAGAGACCTTATGATTTTAGGACGGCAACCGCGACGGCAACGGCTACCACTGAATACAATAGATCATTGAGAAGAATTGAGTAAGTACAATAAATGAATAATTTAGACATTGTCCTCGCTCTGTTTACAACGCCAAATCACAGATTTTCAAGTGTTGATACAACGGCTGCATTCCAAGCCACAACAAGTGCAACTTCAAACGGTGTTTAGCACAACTCTTCCCAACCATAAAATCCATGTTTTCAACTTCTAAGACTGTATTAAATTCATACGATTGCTAATATACGACAAACTATCGACTATACCATTTATTTGAAGGAGTTTGTTTTGGCCGTCGCCGTCGCGTTTGCCGTTCTAAAATCGTAAGGTCTCTAATAAATCACATATCCCCCCGTTGCCTCAAAATAACTTATACATAGTTGTAACTGCAGTATACATGAGTTACAAGGGCGTTTGAAAATAAAAAAATGGCAGTTTTAATAGCGGTTGCCCTACAGCCTAAAGACAAAACAAGGTATATGTTATTACAGACCTAAAGATTAACGTACTTTACAGCAGACAGCAAACTTCAAATCGTGTTTACAGTATATAGCTGTTCGAAGTTAGGTTAATTTGTGCATTAAAGCATGAATTAGCTACTTACCATTTAATCTTAAAGATAATCGTAAAGCTCAATCTTATCGTAATACTTAATCTCGTAAAGCTCAATCTTAAGGTGAGTTAAGCCGGGCTCATGTTCAACCGCGTACCCAGGGCCTGCCCGCCCGATTTTTTAATATGGCCGCCAAAGCGGGCGAGGCCCTGGTAAACGCTGGTCACGTGTCAGGCAAATATTCTTGGAGTATTAGCCTGCGAGCGTGCTTTATGGAAATAAAGACAGGGGGGCGACGAAAAGTTCACGAATAGAACTTGAATTGCCGCAGAATATTTATATTCTTTTATTTTTTGTTGTAATCTTTCTTTTTAATATGTTACGTTTATATATACGTCGAATGTACATCAATTTTCTTTCATATCGCATCATATAAATTGCCGAGGAGGCGATGTTTCGAATTTCGAAGGAAAATATTGGAGCCAACCTCGTACATACCAATTTGTGATGATTTCCATCAAGTAAAAGGTACAGTATGAATTTGAAAATGTTTAGGAGTATTTCATTGTTACAAATTATTTAGCAGATTCCCATTATTTGTTACACTGACTAGCTCTATGAAATGTATATTTCGAAGGCTATTTAATATATTTTATACAGTATGTTAATATAGTTAGCTGAATTCGTAGTTTAAATATTGAGAAAACATGGCCAGACTATGGCTTATAAATACTATACTCAGACTCTCAGTAAAGTTCTACTCTCACATGATTATTATTTAAAATATTGATTTATCGCAGCGAGAAACGTATTTACATACAGTATTATTAAACTACAGTTTACAGCAGCATTAACTTCAAATACTTTGTTTTTACATTTACATTTACATTTAATGACCTGGAATTATTTAAATGAGCCATTACTGTAATAACAGAGTGGCCAGGTTGACAAAGCTAAAATCTTGTCAACCTAACCTGCTAGGATATTTCAAACATCAGTTTCGGCATTTATTCAGCATTATTTATTGTTAGTGAGTTAATGAGTATTTTTAATATCCATGACAACTCCTGCTATAGTCAAGGATTTTTTAGGGAAAAGGTTCAGCACCCCATCGTAAAACCTGCCCCTGAATCTCAAAATTTCATTATTTTGTTCCCTTGCCCCTACATTTATACCTTTTGTGCCCATGAGATCTTTAAAAAACATGTAACCTTGTGACATGTAACCTTGTTGCCATAATTATTTTCTGAAGGTTTCAATAAATTTCTACTCTAACACCTGACAGAGATGGGGGCCAGATGTATGAACAAGAAGAAATTATTTCTTCATCTATTGACCTCTTTCACCAAATTTTAAAATTAAATTTACTGAATGATTTTGAAGTTTTCTAGATTATTGAAAAGAACTTTATGGGTACAAGAAATGGGGCAAAAACAGTTGAATTAAGCAAGATGCAAGTAACAATGAACAAGACCGGGTCACTGGATGGTATTTCAGCACACTGGTGGACATGCAACCTAATATCTGTATAGTTGTACACTGTACTGGAAAAATAATGTCAAGGAATTTGTAGAGATTCTGAATGAACACTCCATATTATGGTTTATTCAATCACCAGCATGCATGAATCATTTGATGTTGTGAATATTTTTTAAAAATTATTCTCACTTTAGATAATTATATATCAATTTTCAATATGATAAATGAATATATAGTCACTGTAGCTTTTGATTATACAAGTTATAATATATCAGCAAATAATGACTGGTCTCTCTGAAATCCATATAGAAAGGTTCAAATTTGACTTCCACTACTTGATCTGGCAGTTGCATCCGATTGTTTGATTGGATAAATGACACTTATCTGGTTAATAGTCAAATCTGATCTCTATTATTTTTTGAAGATTTTCTCTAGCCACTTCAATTCAGGGTTGCCCATGCAACTTGGTTAGCACAGCTAGCTCTTCAAGTTGGAGGGTTCTGCAAATTAATTCTAGAAAACTGGTTTTGGTTTGGGCTAAGCAAAAATTATCACACTGTTTACAGATTTGATTATCATGCTGATTTGGTTGTTTAACAGTTAAAGTCCAGGCTGCATGTTTTTTGTCCTGCATTTTCAAGTGTTTATGTGGGGAATTAATATTAATCCTGCCTTCTGAGTGAAGGTCTTGCCTGCTTTATACGAGAGCAGGCTCTATACGAGATTCCAATTGCTACACAGCATGATCTCAAGGCTCTTCCTCTGAAACAACACTTGGTTGCGATATCATCCAACAAGTGCAAAAATGCACTACCATGGTCAAGGATCATTTGGCATGTTCATCGACTATGCTAACCCATTGAGTGGCGGCATGATGCACTGTCCACCTGATGAGTAAAATTGTCTGCCATTAGACAGAGTAAACTAACAAAGTACGGTGCATTGCCACTTAAAGGGTTAAAAACATAAATACCACAGCACAATACTTGTACATATACAACAACAATCCTTTTATATATTTAATGACTTCATATTTACATATTGGTGAAATATCAAATGAATGTCCATATATATATTAGGGATGTCCGTAAACTTGTCCCTAGTTTGAAGCTCAAGTATTCATATCGTTTGTATAAGTTGTCCCTCTACAAACTACCTTTTAGTCATTATACAAGAGTTGAATTTGCATTCATTTGCTTCGCAAGTTGCAACAAACTGAACAAAGTACTAAACCATAAACCTGTGCAAATGATCGAGCGTCTTGAGCGACATATCCAAGTCTTTTAAACGTCTCATTGGAACACATCTCACTGAGTTTTTTCTACAGAAAGTATTGATCCATTTGATCGATCGCCGTACTTTGAGAAAAGCTTGAAATGCAAAATTCACAGGGAAGATTGAAGAATTTCTGAGATAAAAACTGTTTGTCTTCGAGTTTCAACTCTAGCATTCACCCCCCGGTTGAGAAAAGTAACAATTACGTAATGTTGGAGTCACGTGACCAGCGTTTACCAGGGCTATGCCGCCGTCTTCAATTCGCGGCTAGCTCTGGGTACGAGGTTGGCTCATGTTAATGATTTATGTTACGCAAGACATATAAACATATATGCCAATTGCAATGAGCCCTTTTGCCTATAAACCGCCCTTTCAACTTTCCCTGTGGGAGAAAACCGGAGTACCCGGAGAACTGTCCCACGACTTTCGGCAGAGCGTTGACTTTTTGCTCTTTTCGCATGAGGACTGGGTTCGGGTCGCATTGAGAAAGTTCTCACTGAGATTCGGGCCTCAAGAGGCGAAAGGAAAGTGCGCTAACCACTTCGCTACCGAAGCTCCCTTGGTATTATTATAACATGGCTTTCTAGTGCCAGAAAGTGCGTCGCAGTCACAGCAAAAATTGCGTGGTGTAACAGTGTTGGATAAGGGTTATATGGAACTTGACATAATAGATTATTGCAATACGCACTGTATACCTGGCTCTCAGTGACCTGGCTACTTTGAGAAGAATCAGTCTTCAGAACTAAAGTATATTTTCCTTTCACTGCCACAAATTGCTGACGTTTATCCCAAGAATTTTTTGTTTTCTCCAGAAATTTCTTTTTAAAGATTTTCTCAGCATTTGCTTGGCTTAGTGGACCATCTAGTTTACTTTGCCCACCAGTTCCCTAAAAAATATCGTTTAAGAATTTGTCAATGCCTTTTTTAAGAATTTGTATGTAAATTGGGGGGGGGGGGATCTTGGCCACGTATCAGGAAATCCAAGCAGGGCCGTATCGAAGAAGATAAAGAAGACCGACCGACAACATTTCAGTCGCTAATTAATATTTTTTTTAAAAAAAATGTTGGCAGGGGGGGTCACCAATTATTCCGGACATTTCGTAATTTTTCCGGACATAGCTACGAAAATTTTTCCCGACATATCGTAATTTGTTAACTTTTTCCATAAATTTAGCAAAATTTTTGCTATAACTATTAGTATTACTTTTTATTCCGTACCACTCAAATATTTTCCGCTGACTAGGAAAACAACTTGCCAATAAATCAGAAAACAATTTGCCGAGTCTAGCAGACAATTGCCGAGTCTGTGATGAATGGGGGGTGTTACATCTCCCACACACCCTATAGCTACGCTCCTGAATCCAAGGACTATTAAAAGGAATGGAAGAAGGTGTAGAAATCAGTAAAAAGTGACTTTGTATAAACCCTGCAACTGGTAGGGGGTACATCCCAAAACATATAGTTTGAGCCTCTGGGGCTTGATTATTAGCATTTTCAGACACTACTATTTGAAAAATTATTTCATCTGGTAGACAAAGGTTTGGTCATAAAAGAATATTAAAACACTCTTAACTGTTTTCTTTCACTTTTTGCTTGTATTTTAGGGCATGTTCATATGAGTTCTGTTCTATTATGTGTTTATATGACATGGGGGAAAATTATGTAAACATGGCATCTATGAAATGTATTTTGTTGTAATCAAACAAAAAGCACCTTGTCCTTGTATTACAACTTTAACAGTATCTATTTAGGTCTATTAACCCATTAAGATGCACTGCACCCTAATTAATGAGTCCTACTTCATTTAATTTTACTCTGTCAAATGCCGGACGGTTTTTTCTGTTCAAGGGGAGAGCACTGGCACTGAAAAAGTTAATGTTTATTTTTTGTTTGACATATTTTCCAATTATGCAATTCAACACTACATTACAGCTCAAAGTTCGCAAGAAATGTCCATCCCACTGGACTGATATCCCACGTAGCACAAGGCCAGATCTCACAAATTAAATTTAATATGCATTGACAAGCAACGTGCAGCTTGGTGAGTTTCCTGGTTAGCTGGGCTCATATTTATACACCCTCAGACAGAATTAAGGGGTCTTCACTGGAGTTTTTCCTCAGAAGAGCTGCATGTTCACAGAAAATGTTTTGCGGTCTGGAAGTGTTTTTGTTCAATCAGAAATATATTATGTGATTTTTGATTCACAAAAAAAATTTGTGCAGGCAGAATTTTTACGAATTGAGGGATTTTGTACCGATTTTCGTAATTCTTGTAAAGGAAATTAATGTCCTCCAAAGCTAAAACATTACAGTCTGGCACTGGGATCCAGAGGCAAAACAGTTCAGCACCCCTCCCACCACTGAAATGTGAAACATTATGCATGACTGAAACATACGCTGTAGTTTCACACAATTCGAAAGGCGTAGCACCCCCATTCCCCCAGTTCACTTTAATGTTGCCCTGACAAAATCTGATGTCTGGTTGCAAGACACCAACATTGAAATGGGTGGGGGGGGGGGTGCCCAGGGTGGAAAAATGTATCAAGCAATGGTAGAATACATTTGAATGCATGTTAAAACTACTAGATTGTCCCAATGTATATTGTCAAAGATTACAGATATATTGACAAATAAAAATACTATATTAAATAATTTGCATAATATGCTACATTCAGCTACTATTTAATATGTGTCCTCTCCCCCAGATTTAGGGGTCTGGAAAGGAGGTTTCCTTCTTAAAATTTCCTAATGGCTAAGGGGTAGACTAGAGGTCCAAGGTTTTATACTAATGGACCCATTAATATTGGGGGTGCCTACTGTATATAATTTTAAATGGAATGGTGCATTACCAGACTGCATTCTTTGTCTTTCCACGCAGAACATATTGCGCACACAGAACCTCGAAATTGTCTAAAGGAGGTTTGCTGTTTGCATACCACTTAAAAAGGAACCAGTGACCAGCAGCCTCTGTTTGACTATCATGAAGGTCATAAAAATCATGCACTCTCCATGAAAATGGCTGGCAAGATTAGAAGGGTTCTGATAAAAAACAGCACTTCCGGTGGGTCCAGATTTTCTGCTACCGATGGGCTACGCCGCCCCTGTGGATATCAATTAGTTGTGACTTTTATACTAAGGGCCTGTTTATATGGAAGCCGGGTTGGCCCGCTTAGCGAGACAGCCCAGTAAGCGGGATGAATTTCTCTTGTGTTTATATGAGAAAATCTCATCCCGCTTGCCGGGGCAATTTTGTTACATTGATATTGTTTTGACAGTTGTTAAAAATAGCTTACGGCGATACCTTTGAACTTTCATCCCGGCAACCTGGCTAGCCCGCTTGCGAGTGTTTATATGGAGAAATTTTCATCCCAGTAAGCGAGATCTCGCCTCTTTCAAGCGAGATCTCGGCAACCGGGCCAGCCCGCTTGTCCATATAAACGCAAGATAATTTTCACTATAAAAATAACTACACAGCGAGATCTCGCTTACTGGGCTGTCTCGCTAAGCGAGCCAGCCCAGCTTCCATATAAACAGCCCCTAAATGTATTGGTCATTCATTTGCAGACGGATTTTCATATTGCTGCTTGCTTTGGCCGGGGCATGGTGGCAACGCCCGGAAAGGCCAAGGAAAAAGTTTAACAAAATTTGTTTTCTAGGCCTGCATGGCAAAATCTGAGACAATAATATTGGTAATTTTACAAATTTTGTAGTAAGAATAATCAAATATGAAACTTAATCAAATCAAAATATATATAATTTGCGGGGTGCAAAAACTTTTGGGGGCGGTGCCAAATGCCTCTGGGGGTGCAAATCATTTGTGGGGGGTGCGCACCCCCCCCCCC